TTATCACATCATAATCGTGTGTACAATGTTTATGCGTTTACATTACAATGGTGGCGCTGTGTAACAGTGTACGCGTCTTCGTTAATAAATCAGATCCATCTCTTCAATACATAATGATCCGTTCATTAATAGCGCAATACACACGGCATTTAATAACATACACCGTTAATCGGGTGCTCGATTTAACGAACGGAATCTTGTGGAGTCGTCGCGATGCCGTTCGTGTCCGAGATCTTTCGTGTTTACATTACACTAACATTAAATACTGTCGATACGAACCACTGCTGCTGCTGCGTTCGTATACATTTTTTTCCCTTCTCGTCTTTCGAACGAGACGATGTTCTTTTGTCCGTCCACCAGGTCCATCATATTTTATTCGTACCAACGTTATTATTATTATTACTGTTGTGTTGCTGCGCGCACAGTCGCCGGTGCACCTACCTACTTGTAGCGCGATGCGTGATACTAGAGAAGATCGTTTTCATACGCCCATCTCGAGCCGCCGGGTACATTTCGTTGTCTACAAAAAAAAAAAAATAATAATATAATATAATAGTACACGCGTAGTAACACGATGAGTAGTTCTAGTAGTTCGGGTTTAATGAGGAATCGTCTGGTCGTCGTTATAATATTACGCTACGTCGCGGTGTTCTCATTAGAATAAATAAAAAATTAAAATAAAACGAGAGTGCACGCCGGAGAGAGAGAGAGAGAGAGAGAGAGAGAGAGAGAGAGAGAGAGAGAGAGAACAAAAATGATGATAATAATAATAATAAATGTTTTTTTATTAATGGGAACGTAAACGCAATAAGTCGACGTGCCGGCCGACTCGTTCGTGCGGGCGAGTGCGCGCGCGCCACTCGTATTCATAACGTGTATGTACGTCGCGTGTGTGGGAAGTCGTCCTGGCCCACTGGTTCTCTCAATGAACTTTATCGACGGCGGCAGCGGCTCGACCATTCGTGTCGGGTACGCGTGAATGAACGGATCGCAGTCGTCCAAATAATAAGTAATAATAATAGTAGTAGTCTGTGTTCAGTGTGCACGCTCGGTTTTTTTTTTTTTTATCATAATTATTTTTTAAACAATTTCGAACACCGCGTAACAGCGGTTTCACTCGTCGGATAGTGTTGAACGGTTCGGGTTTGCGTCAACATGATCACCAAAGGACGTCACCCGGAGCAGAAGAGCCGTCAGCAGAGACCTTTAAGCGGCTTCAGTTTTAGCGTTCTCGGTACGTACTCGCGTGAGATGTTATGTCGAACAACATGATTAGAATTTTTCCTCTCTGCGCGTAAGTAATGCGTTCCAAAAATCGTTTCGTCTCCGTAAAAGTCCCTGCTCGCGCACACAACACCTGCACTGCCACTGTGTATTGTTATATGTACATAAAGATTTTTCGAAAGTGATACGAGGCGGTCCAGGGGCTGCAGAAAATTCACAGACGTAATAATTTACGGTTTACATGGGTTTTATTGCTGAAAAGGTTTTATAACCTTGACCGCGTATGCCGCCGCCGCTGCGAATAGAGAAATATTATTTTATACTTGGTTCGTATTTTTGCTCACTTCGTATTGATTTTGTTATTAACGTCGTCACGGTGTTCCCCCGGTGCCGGTACTATCCATATACCTATACGTGCGTTTGTATTGTCTTGTACACGGTTGTACCGTTTTGACCGGGACACTACCCTGGTATCTCGTCGTACCAAACGATAATAATATATTTATAATTATTTATATGTTTCATTTCGAACATGGTTGAAAAATCGAAAATAATCTTCCGCTCGCGCGGCGCTGGGAAAACGACGGCGATTCTTCTTCGGTCAAACCGGCTGACAGCGACTCGGCGACGGTAAAAACGGTCCGTGTACCGTATACCCGGTCCGCGAAACGAGTTCCCGATGCGGACGACGAGCTTTGCCTATATACGCGTGACGGTGACATGTCTGCGCGCTGTATATAGCTGTTGTTTTTAACGATTCGATCGGGTTTTTTTTCTTCTTCGATCATCGTTCACGAACCTTTATCTTGCGAACCAGCAAGTCAGAGCGTTACGTGCAGTGTATATAATTTCGAAGTGGTTCGACAAAATCTTTTATGATAAATCTTTAAACGTTCGTATCCGAGATGCATATTTATATATACATACATCCGGAAGGAGCGGTTTAGTTTCAGCTGGTTAGTGTTGTGTGACTACCACAACGAAATATCTTCGCTTAGCTAGATGAAAAATTAGTGTCCTTTTGGTCACACCATATTTATATTCACTTGGATCGGAGCATTCCGAACGTTGCTGTATAACAATATATAACGTGTATCTGATCAAAGGCTATATTACATCCTCTTGCGACTTTAGCGCTGAAAAAATTTTGTAGGTACCTATTCATAAGTCGATAAAAATAAACTTTGAAAATTGTATAGTTATCATTAAAATTAATTCAATACCTATATTATTCTGTTACAGGCTTTTAAATATGATTATTGAATTGTTTAAAAAAACCACAATTATAGTATTAAAAAAAGTACCTATTATCATTATTGTTATATAATTCAAAAGTTAGTTGATTTTACCGTACGATCCCCCAGGAAAATTACTTAAAAAATAAAAAAGTGAAAACGCAAGTTAAAAATTAGTTAAAATAAGTTATTTCGAATCAATATGAATATTATTGGAAATAAATTTTAAGCTAAAAAAGTTTCAATTAACAAAACTAATGCAAAAGAACAAGTTTTTTGCCTCGTTTATAAACTTTACATTTATGTAATATAAACTGTACCAGATCGATCATTTTGTTGCCATAACTGTTGACAACTATACAGGTACTTGACTATATTAAAAATGTTTTCATAGTATTTCAAATTAAATCGTTGTTGCGTTCCTCTGCGAAAAGCCAGCAATTCGAATAATTTGTCAAATGGCACACCCAAAATGACAAAACGTCACAGGGGATGCATTGCATTACCACCGAGACGCGTGATGATGTAATATTGCACTCCCTCGCGGCCGATTAGCCGAGTGTCTGCATAAACGATCATCGTAATTCGTATCTATAACTTGTGTTATGTTTAAGTAATTGCCATAACGCCTCTAGGGTTTTTTTTTGCTACGACGGCGTCTGTTCACCGCGTGCACAACACACTCGTTCGTCGTCCCGAAAACCATTTATGACCGCAGCCGATGTTGCACTTCGTTTCCGTGGTGTACCGGTGCGTGGCGTGTATGGACGGTCCATATGTGACGCCTCCGCCGCCGTTCCCGCGTCTTCGTCATCGCTCGTTACATACGCCTCGGTATTTCGCATTCGTATTAAATAATACGTTTGTGGGTATACTGTTTCGGTTTTTTTTCTTTTCTGTTTGTTCCATGTCTCGAAACGATTTTCGCTTTCTATGTTCGCGTGATTGATTTTATTCATTCCCCCCTCTCCCCTCGTTTCAAACCTTTTGTTAAAAGAAAAAAAAATCACTTCCGACCGCTCAGCCAGTCGTTTTCCTTGTGGGTCGGCCGTGGGAAACCGTCTGCGTCTGTGGGAACGATCATCATGTTTTTTTGAGGTATAAACGGCGAAACGAGAGGAAGTGAGAAAAGGTATACGGTTTGCTGTTTACCACGACCACGGTCAAAGTCGGCGGGGGTCTCGAAGGAAATTGGGGCAAGTGAGGTGATGGTGACGGTTACTTGTTAAAAGGTACGTCCGCATTATACCCTGTTACTGTAAGATAATTTTCTCTAGTCGAACTACGGGGTTACATTTAGGCGCATTTTATGTACACATGGAATTCATGCTCTGATGGAGTAATCTTATTCCATTCAACTCTTGGACGTGCGATTACTGTTTTCTTAATATATGCAACGATAAAACGATATAATATATATATATATATATATATATGTGTGTGTGTGTGTGTGAACCGAGATTTTATGGGGTAGGTATACAAGGGACGCATTCGTAGGTATTACAAGTTGTACACGGTGTACGCGGTGTGTAGTAATAAAGCGTGACGGTGCTTAAATGTCAATCCTACTTAATGCGAACCCTTTTCTCGCGCGGTCACCGACTTTATACCGCGATCCCGGTACACGACGACCACTGCAGGTGTAATAATATTACAATGTGTATATACGTACACTCGTGCGACGTTGATTGATATAACAACAAAAAAAAAAAAAAAAAAGCGCGCGCTTGTTATATTATGTAGACCGCGTGGCTACTAGGTGCCTAGGAGGAATACGTTGCGAGTCTCTCCGACAGACTTTCGGACGGGACGATACGCCTACACGCTGCCGCACGCCGAAACCGGTGTGTTGCAATGAGAACCGGATTCGGAAGGTCTTGGCACCCACTCCCCGTCGGCACCGTCGTTGTGAATGAACACTTCTCGGCAATATCATTATTATTATTGTTATTGTTGTTATTTTCACCTGTTTGTGCCCCTCTCCCCGTAAGCGATCGGACTGGATGGAATCACACGGTGATCAGGAGGATTAAAAAAAAAAAAAACCGTGTAAATACACGCTTCGATGTACTATTTTTATCCGTTTTCTAAATAAACCCTTCGGAACACCGGGCACGGTTCGAGGACGTGGACGAGATGGTAACGGTGGTCGGCTGCCGTTATCAGGGATTTAGTCGAGTGCAGACGGTTTGACGAGGGGAGAAAATATCATCTCCTTCACTGTGCTAGGTACAATGAATCGTATACAATAATGCGCATTGCGTTGACGTTAATCGTTTTCGTCCTGCTCCGAACGCGCAATATAACACCGAGCATTGTCGTGCGTTGTAATGACGTTACACGCTACTACGGTCCACGGTATACATCGGTTACCGCCGGCGGTATTACACGAAATCAAAATGATTTTTATGTGCGTCTTGCACGAATTACGTAATAATAACGCGTTTCGTACGTGTTTATCGTAAGCTGCGTGTACGGTGATCGATAACCGAAACACAACCGCGCGTACACCGTATTCATTTATTTGTATATTTCGTACAGATTTGGCCGCCATACGAAAACTGCTGGAAGAAGGAGTCGATGGTGACGAGACGTGCCCCAGCTGCGGTATGCCTTTCGACAAGGGCAAAAAAAGAAAACTCATTGACTCTTGCGGCCACGAACGTTGCTACGCTTGCATGTTCCGCAACGAAGGATGTCCGCTTTGCGCGTCTGCTGCTGCTGCTAATGTGACCGACGACGACGGAGCAATGAAAGGTAATCCGATTTCAATTCGCATATTATTATAATCCATTCACTGTTGTATCGGTCGTTTGTCGAAAATTGTGCTTAAACTATTCCAATAAAACGACGATAAGTGTGTACAGTTAATATAAACGTAATAAGTACATTATTATTTACGCTCGTTCGGTCGAAAACCATTGCTGACCAACAGTGCGCTTTCAGTCGTTACACTCCTGGATAGTGATAGTTTGTAGAAATGCGCTCATAAAATCATCATAATAATGATTATACAACAATTATTTTCTTGCACGATAATGGCGTGTTTGATTTATACGAAATATCTGTAATCGTTTCTACATTGTACTTTGAATATTGTAGTTTTTCTTTTCGAATAATATATATAGTTTTAGTGTCTAAATGGCTATATATTCAAAGTATATTTATTTTCATGCAGATGTATTCTTTAACTGAAAAGAGATGGCAATAGATCCTCAGATAATTTTAAAACTTGAAAACTTTTTATACATAAAACAAAATAAAAATCACACACACATTAATTGTAATTGTTCTTTTAAATGACATTTACCGATATATTTTTACATACTCATTATTATCAATTGCATTCAATTGCACTTATACATGTATTCGTATGTAGCTACTAGACATGTAACAAACATAGACGACGTTAAATTATATTTGTATTCTGTGTAGGCTCACCTCGGAAACCATTCGAAATAAATAAATAAACCAACTGAAATAAATGTTAAATAAAAAAATTAGATTTGGAACCTATGAAGCTATGAAGGTTTTTATTGTTATTAATTTTGTCATGATTAGCGAAAGTGTGCTCGTTCAAATTGGATATACAAATTTTATCCGTAATTTTTTTTTAAATTTGATTAAAAAGTTCTTTGCATGTTGACGTATTTTATAAGGTCTTATTAAAATATTGATGATTTACTTTGACTATACTACTATACTACATGCTGCAAGTATAATTAATTTGAAAACACGAATGAATATTTTGATTTTTATAATATCGACCGAAACCGGATGAGCTATATTTATTAAAGTTTTGATGTATTAAAATGATATATATATAAAAAAAAAAACCGCCAATAACTGTTTAAAGTACACCAGATGCATCAAACGACCGTCTCGTATAAACCGTTTAAACGAAAACGGGGTTTAGATAATTTATAAAGTAAAGTAGGTACTTTGTTTCTTCAGAAGTATAATTCAATAATAAATGCTCACTAATCAGTCTTTATAAAGTAATAACATAAAATAATAATAATAAATGCAATATGCATTTATCCTTTAAAAATTACGAACTTATATCGATTACACGCAGTTTTATCCAGGGCGAAGAAAAATATAATTATACAGAAATAATGAAATTAAAACATGACAATAATAATTGTGTGATGATTACTTATACCGCTAATTTAATTTTTGGTTTTATAGCAATAAGTTTTCGTTTTTAATCCAACAAAAATATAATATTATTTTAGAACTTTATTTTTTATCCTAATCGCTGTTTGTTTTGTTTAATACAATACAGAAAAATATAATACTTGTACAGGAAAATAATGCGTATAATATAAACTATTGTTCCTATCAAAATAAATAGTTGAAAGCGTAATTAGTTAAATAACATACGTATTAGATCTTTCACCCCGAACAAGGTTTTGTTTATAATGATTAATTAATACAAAGCCTATGATCGTTTTTTTCTCCATTTCGAAAAACGTCGTAGAAAATAACTCCAAGAAATATATTTAATTGAAAATCGAAAAGATTTTCTTCAAAATATTTTTACAAAGGCTCTGAAAAAGTTTTTAATTATGTACTAAACCACGTAAGTTCGTGCACGCAGACGAACATTATAATTTCAAACAATCACCACCACCTGTACAAAGTGGTAGCGTTTTATCTATGTAGGTATCGTGTTTGTGTTATTTCACTGGTCCATCATATTTGTCGTCTTGTCGAATACTGTGTTGTTACGTGTGCACGCACGTTATTTTTTTATTTTTTTATTATTTTTTTTTTTTTTTTAATTATGATCTCAGGCGTAAGGCCGCGTTGAGTTTTTATCCGCCATCACTGCGGCGGCATAACGCGTTTCCCACGATGTTCGGTAAACCTATAGTCATCATATGGCGGCGTCGCCACTAATTGTCGCGGAAGCAGATGACAAAAAAAAATAAATAAATAAAACAAAAACAAAATATACCGTGTACCAAAACGAAATAAATACATTTTAAATTGAAGTAAAAAAAAAAAAAATAATAATAATAATAACAATGAAAATAATGAATGTAAAAAATTAAACATCGAAATCCTATGTAATTTTTAACTTGTTGTGATGTGGGGTATGTACATTTAATGGCGTTCCGTTGAATACTTTTCGTCCACAATCATTCTGTGCTTACAGTAATAATAAAGTCTCGTGGTTTTTTTTTCAGCATCCAAGAAGTCGTTGGTCGACGAGCCGATTTACGCGCAAAACACGCGGACCAATAGGTCCCGGGTGAAGACAAACGGACACTTCTCGCCCTACGTCCAAGTAAGTTTGCGGCACTCGACCTTTGAGGTGTGCGTACAGTTTTGAAACGTTTTCTCGTTCGTTGCAGTCGCGGCAAGGTTCTCAAGAGCTCAACCATTCGCCCAGCAGACTGCCCAGACCTAACAGAAACTTGGACGAGGTGATGACACAGAGTACGTATGCGCCGAACAGAATTTATTTTTTACTATTTTGGTTCAACCACCGCAATGGTGTTAACCGCGAATGGTTTTCGACTTTTTAATCGCAGGTTGCCCGACTCCTCCGCAGAACAGAAGGAAATTCTTTCTCAGCCCGAAAACCATAAGAAACCAATGGTCCATGCGCAGCGGATCTAGATCGCCTTCCGACAACGCCCTTTCCGGTAAGTTTTACAGCAAACTAAATTGATATCATAATATTGTACACGGATTACACTGAAATGCATTGTGGAATACAGTAATGTCAGCGTCGACAACGATAGTGACGGATCCGCGGAGATGGTCTTCGGTGGTGTTGGGCAAGATTAGATCTTTGTGGTCGTTGAGAGGTTTGTTAGGTTTTGAAAATGAAACGTTTTTGTGTGCCCTTGACCCTGTGTGCTGCACTTAAGCTTATTAGAAAACACTTTATTAACATTATGTCACCGTGTTATGTATAGAAGAATGATGTTTTTTTTACACTGCAATTGAGTTAACCTAGTTATTTTTATTCTTCGCCAAGGTCAAATAAATAAATTACGTTTTATAAACTGATACCACTTCAGTCACCACGTGGTTTTATTGGTGATATTTTGGCGACTTCTTATTAATAATAATAAAAACCTCTGAGAAAATGTGAAAACAAAACGATTAAATTTATCGTGTATGCAGTGGCATAGCAAGGGTATGGTGAACTGTGCCTACGCCAAGGGCGCGAATCGCAAAGGTACGCAAAATTGTGCAAAAATCGTATTTTTATATGAAAATCAAATCGAAATTTTTTCCATTATATTTTTGAAATGCGTAAATGTTGTCTATTTGTATTACGTGTTAATTTAATGATGCAATTATTGATGTATTTGTCAGTCATAAAGCGAGAAAAGTAAATTTTCAAAGTTTAAAATGAACACTGTAATAAGAACTTATAAATATAAATTGCATACTTAAAAAAATTAATAAAATTAATTGTTAAAAAAAATATCGTAACATCAAATTTGAATTGGTTAAAACGCGTTTTTTTCTAAGTTTGCCAGAGGCGCCAGCGAGTCTTCCTACGCCACTGCGTATATGGTTTTGTCCGCATGTAATAGATATTCTACAATGAGATCTTCAGACATGTTTTATTCAATATATATTTTTGATTCGAGTACTTAATGTAGGCGTAAATCGATCAATAATAGCCATCGGAGAATAATAATAAATTGTCATGATTTTAGAATCGAATAGCACAAAATCATGATAAGAAAATATTTTTAATATTTATTTCAGGAGCACCTAAGAGTAAATGTATTATGAATTTTAATTTGTGTGATTAATTTATTTTTATTGCATGAGCACGAACATTCGCTTTGTGCATAAATCACTTATTTTAATTTTTATTATAATTGTTTTAAATTTTTATATGAATTACGTTTCAATTGTTTTACAGATGACGAAGGTGGTACCGTGAAACCACGTGGATCGTTGAGTCAAAGGAGTTGCAACTCTGACACATTGTACACGAGGCTAGGATTGTTGTTGTCGCGGGACAGCAACTCCAGATCGTTTACGGAAGATGTGTCGTTGTCGAGCATCAACTCCAAACCCATGTCGAGCAATGGGAGTCCCGTGTCCACGCTCACCGGTTCCTCGGAAACTGAACACAAAGCAATCAAAGAGCAATCATCGGACAGCATTGGATCGCTCATGTCCATGTCCGGGCAGAGTAATGGGTCGTCTAGTCCACTGACCCGAAGACATTCTATCACGAGTGAGTGAAAGTTTATTAACTATAATACTATAATATAAAGCTAATAATAATAATATGTAGTTACTGTAGCTGTATAGATATAATATAAAAACGAAATTGATTAACGGTAAAAATGACTTAAACAGCATCGGTACGTTTCACATCGATATAATTATGACTAAACACTATATTGTTCTACGTGACGTTCATTCCGTATTGGTGTATAACCATAATACAATATAGTTGTGTTTGCTTCGGCTTCTGAACTAACAGCTATTTTATTGCGTGTGTTTTGTTTGTGTTTGTTCAGCGTTACAAGCAGGCTCTGTAGACGATTTGCGTCCATTTAAATCTAGGCGACAGCCGACCAGGAGGTCTGCTAGGTCCGGTACGATTAAAGGACCTATCGATCCCAAAGGTAGTTGTTTTTCCCATAGCTTGACGAGTACAGTGCACTCAAAACCGTGACGTTGAATCGTGTTCGTTTGTATTTTTTTTTCAGTGAGATTCGCTCAGTACAGAACGTCTCCGCAACAGCAACAACAACTGCAGCAACAACAGCTGATGCTGAAACCACTGTTCTTCGAGGTGCCTCAACAGGAGTCCGATCCGCTCTTTTTGGGTCGGGAATGGTTGGTCCAAGACATCAGTAACGCGTTGCTGCACGCTCAGTCATCAGGAGTGGTGGTGACTGGTTTACCGGGCACGGGTAAAACGGCGTTTGTTTTGCAACTAGTCGAACACAGTTGTTTCGGTCGTCTGAAATCAAATTGTAAGTGTCGATTATTCGGTGGACGTTTGCGTCCGACCGTGTGCGTAATCTTCGTACATACTTACAAGCGTTGCGTTTTTTCAGTGGACGTGTCAACGATAAACGGCAAGGATAGGCCATCGCTGAAAAATTCGCAGACCATCATATCCGAGGACGTGAAGTCGCTCGCTACACGCGTGGTCGCCTACCATTTCTGCCAGGCCGACAACAACAGCACTTGTCTGATACCTGAATTCGTACACTCGCTGGCGGCCCAACTTTGCCAGGCACCTCAGTTGAATATATACCGGCAGCACGTGCTGACCGAACTCAACCTTCAGGTACGACCAAAATGGGGGGGGGGGGGGGAGACAAGTCGTGAATAAACAGCTTATGATTTTAACGTCTACAGGATTCGTTGTCAATGCGCGAGTGCATCGTCGATCCCGATGCGGCGTTCGTTAGAGGTGTTCTGGAGCCCTTGAACGTACTCAGTCGCCTGGCCAACACTATTGGTACCGACAGTCTGGTCATCGTCATCGACGGCCTCTGCGAAGCCGAATACCATAGGCCAGACCATGGTGATACGATCGCCTCGTTTCTGGTGAAGCATATGCCTAAATTTCCGGCTTGGCTGAAAATCGTCGCCACGTTGAGGACCGACCTGGAAGAGGCATTGCCACCGTTGTCTCTAACAAAAATTTGGTAAGTTTCAATACAGTTCCGCGCGTTAGGTCGACTGTTTCATAATGTTTATTGTACGCCATATATCTAGCGTGGACGTAAACTCGCCGAACAAAGAGAATGTTGTTAAGGACTTAATGGATTATATCAGTTTTCGAGTTACTAATAGTGCCAGTATCCAAAATAATTTGATATCCGGCACTACGGGCCAGTTTAAGTTCTGTCAACACTTGCAAACCAGCAGTCACGGATCATTTCTTTTCGCTAAACTGACGTTGGACCTGATCGAAAGGGGTCATTTAGTGGCAAAATCACAAAGTTTCAAGGTCCTACCGATCACATTGGCTCAAATATATCAACTTCATTTCAATTTGAGATTCCCTACTACTAGCTCGTTCGAAAAAGTTGCTGACATATTGAGCGTATGTCTCGCAGCACTTTACCCGTTGACGATTTTAGAAATTTACTACTCGGTAAATTCATTGAACGTGGACGAATTTATCTCGTGGGAGGCGTTCTTGCAAAGGTTTAAGGTATGTGGTCAATAACACTTTGAAGACTCCGATTCTCATTTGCGTTATTTTTACAGTTAATATCCGGACTGCTCATAAAACGGCTAGACAACACCTATATGTTTTTTCACCCGTCATTTAGGGAATGGTTGATGAGACGTGACGACAGCGAGTCTAAGAAATTCATATGCGATTTAAGGTAATACATTTGTTTTTACTTATTATTATTATTATTATTATGCAAACACCTTGTTTATGCTAATTGTTTGTAAATTATAGGAATGGTCATTCAGGAATTGCTCTACGGTTTTCGAGACTCCAAGCGCCATTAGACTCTGAAAAAACTCTTGAACTGGGCCATCATATTTTGAAAGCTCACTTATATAAGAACATAACTTTACAAGACACTTCATCGAGAGATCTCCAAGCCAATTGGATGGCTTCTGTTTCTAGTAGCGTGTCGTCTGCTCTATGCTCGATGAGAAATATATACGCACCGAACATCAAAGTGTCCCGGTTATTGTTGCTCGCCGGAGCGGCCCCTGATGTCCAAACGGACCTGTTGGGCCAAGCGCCCGCCCTGTGCGTTTACGCTTACGAAGGTGTTTACGATATGGTAGCACTGCTGTTAGAATTTGGAGCCTCTCTGAACGTGTCGAATAGTCAAGGTAGAACTCCTTTGTGGATGGCTGCGAGCAAAGGTCATATAGACGTAGTAAAATTATTGATTGAAGCTGGCGCGTCACCTGGGCTTACCGATTCTGCTAGAAGGTAATTCGTTTACTGCTTTTTTTATTTTTTATTGAAACTACAATAACTAGCTCGACAATTTATAGTGTTCGCGACCACAAAACCTTTTTTTTCTTAATAAAAGGGATTTATTTTTACTATTTACGGAACGTTTTTAGGTGCCCATTAGTAGAAGCCGCGAAAAACCGTCACTTTAACGTAGTCGCTTTCCTATTGGGATGCGAGTGGACAGTGACCAATCCCAGAGTAGAGATCGACCACATTGATGCTTCCCAACAAGCGTTGGTACAAGCAGCCGGACAAGGAGTGGACGACGTCGTGGAGTACTTGTTAGACGTAGCCGAAGTCACTGTTGACGGACAAGACAGTCTATCGGGAGAGACTGCGTTGACTTTGGCATCGTCCAACGGTCACAAGTCGACGGTCGTCTTGTTGCTTGATAGAGGTGCTCAGGTGTCGGCCACCAATATGAAGGTATGCTGGTCTTGTTTTGATAAAATCTCATTATCATAGACGTCCGTTGTTAACAATTATTGTTTAAACTTATGCGAAAACAGTGTATGAACGCTCTGATATTAGCTGCTAGAGATGGTCAATGGGAAGTAGTTGAGACTTTATTGCATAATGGAACTCACGTTGATATCGTTGACTCAGAACAAAGGACCCCACTAATGATGGCTGCGTCAGAGGACCATTCCGGGATCGTTGAACTTTTACTGGACAGCGGTAAGATTGATTACACTCGCTCATTCACTTTTTATGATACCACTCAATTTTTTAATACTATTATATACTATTATTGTTAATCAAAACAAAAAATAACGAGTTATGTCTTCAATAGAAGATCGTTATGAAAATATAAGTTTAATTACTTACTTCCGATAGTTTACCTTCTACTAAGGTTGTGATAATGTACCGTTCACGCGTGAATAAAAAAGTATATTTTATGCTCATAAAATCGTTACAATCGCGTATTTGATTCAATTCGTATAATATGTTTGGTTTTCTGTACTTGCGCAGGTGCTGATTTGAGTGCAAAAGATCGCACGGGTCAAACCCCCTTGAGCTGGGCCTGTCTTAAAGGGCGTGTCGCTATCGCTCAATATTTACTGGATCGCGGAGCACCACTCGACCACGCGGACAAATCTGGTAAAACGGCCCTAGACTTGGCCACGCTGAACGGGAATCCGGCATTAGTACAGGTAAACAACAAGTAGCAAGAACACCAACAGAGATTTATGTTTTACAATTACTTTTCAGCTATTACTAGAAAGAGGCGCTTTGATCGAACATGTAGACCTGTACGGGATGCGACCTCTGGACAGAGCGATCAGCTGTAGAAACGTACCGGTAGTGCAGAACTTTTTAAGGAGGGGTGCCAAGCTTGGCCCGACCACGTGGAACATGGCGTCTGGAAAACCGGACATTATGTAAACATGATTTTTCATATTTCATTGGGCTGTGTTGCGTTTGCCAAATGAGCAGATTTTGTATACTTTCGGAAATTGTTTTCAGGTTGGTTTTGCTTAACAAACTATTGGAAGACGGAAACACTTTGTACCGGAAAGGTAGATTAAAGGAGGCCGCCTACAGATACATATACGCCCTGAACAAATTCCCAGCGGAAAACGAACTTGATTCAACATTTAAACAACTTCAGATCAACTTCTACCTAAACACTTCTCGCTGTAAAAGAAAGTTGAATGTAAATAAACTGTTGCAAACTTTCCAGCTTTATTTGTTGCAATTTAATTATGAAATAAATGGTGTTCTTGCAGGAAGTCAACGAGTCTATCGAGTTCGCGGAAAAAGTGCTGAAGCTAAAACCGTCATCGTTTGAAGCGTACTACGCAAGAGCCAAAGCTCTAAAAGACTTAAGGTATGTAATGGTTCACCGACATTTTGACGTTTAAATATTTTTAACCGTGTATTTTTTTCTGGTTTATAGGAGATTCGAAGACGCTCTAGCAGACATACAAGAAGCTGTGCGATTAGTACCACCCGGTAATTCCGACATCAGACATGTCTTGTTTAGACTTAGAGACGACGTTCTAAACAAATTGACTCTAGATGCTCTCAATCCAGAAAACGCCGGACCTTCTTCCTACCTCTAAATTGATAATGTTCCTAACGGCGACGTAGATAATTTATTTCCTAATAATTCAATTTTTTTTCTAATATAATTTTGTTTTTCCATAAATATTCAATAAAAAAATTTGATCAAAATTAATTTAAAGCGAATCAACATGTACGTACTTAATTATAGGTTAACTAGTTATTTTTGAAATCATATTATTTATAAAAATATAGAAATAAAAATGTTTTTGAGTGTATCTACAACGGTTAAAGTTTTATGATCAAAATTATAATGTGTGACTCACCATCATTTTTTATTAATAATCATTCTATTAACATTTTTCAATGTTCCTGTATCATTTTTGTATGTTAATTTACTAATTTATGTAATTTGATGTTTATTTCAATTTGACATATCGTGATTAAAGAAAGACGGTAAAGTTTTGACTAATCGATGAAATGCTCGTGCAATCATGTTACTAATTTTATTTATAGAGATTGTTTTTATTTTCTGGTTGTATGGAGATTTTATTTCTATTTTAGACCATTAAAAATACCTACCTACTTAGTTTAGATAAATGTTATTTTTATCACAGTTTTTTTTTTAATAGAATTTAATTTGTTTTAAATAAAATATAATTTTTGTTTTTTTTTTTTTTTTTATATATATATAATATGTGAAAATAATAAAATTGTTAGTTAAGAGCTATTAAAATGTTGTTTTTTCAATATTTTTATATTTGTTTTTATTTATTAATTTTTAATATTAAAATAATCATTGATTCACCTTAATAAAATAAAAAACTTAGTTTTTACATCCTGTTTTCTTCCAAAATTATGAACTGTATTTTTTTATTTGTCCAAGAAGTCTTAATATAATATTTAATTTTTGTACACCTCAGAAAATGTATTCAGCTGCACATTTTTTTTTTTTTTTTTTGGATTTCAGTTATTTACAAGATTTTATTTATTAATTTTATATAAACCATAAACAAATATTTAAGTTACTTTTCTGGATCTTGCAATACAAAACATACAAAATATATAAATTAATTTAGTGTACAGCTATATTTAACTGAAATATAATTATTATAAACTTGAATAGTTTTCAACATCAATTTATATGTTAAACATGAAAAATATTAATTGTTTTCTTTCTTCTATATTTAGAGTAGGTACTAAAATGTATTAAAGTGTAATATGGAATCTTATTAATTCAGAATTTATAAACGAAAAGTACCAAAGATATGCTGTTTTGGGGTATTCACTATAAATTATCTATGCTTGACCTAAATTTTAAAACCCAATTTTGAATTAAATCCCACATTCATACAGTAAATAATTCTGTAATTTACTAACAACAAAAGTTTTTTTCTTCCCAAGTCGCAGACCAGTATTGTTAAAAATATTTACTTTCATATCTTATTATATTCTTAAGACTGCAATTTCCATACAGACATTTTTTTTTTATTCACAGTCAACAAACTCATAAATCTCAAAAGGACATATTTTATTTGTTTTTAAATATCATTTTTGGACGTAATATTTTTCAGGTATTCACATTTTCACCTTTTCAGGATTTTTAATGTTGGACATTTTGTAATTTGCGGTGGTCAGTAAATAGTGAGCTCGGGGGTAGCACGAGGCTTTCCATACAACACGATGTGGGAACATGGTCTACGTACGTGGTCCGGCGACCTAAGTATTTTTACTCGGTCACATAATCGCGCAGCCCTAAGCCCATCAAACCCCACACTGTTGGAACCCACCTTTACATTATCTGGTACGGGTTATCACTAAAATTATTACATTATAATGTCTATTTTTGAAATCAGTAATTGATTCACATGTTATTGCAATAACCATAGTAATTTGTACAAAATATGCACAAAATTGATCTGAATGGTTTAATATCAAAACATAAAAATCGAAAATTCGCGTGTAAGTTACGGTTAAGGGGTGGTGATTTGCCACGGGCAGAATTTTCAAGAAGTGCTGTATACTAATTGAAATTACGTAAATTACTTTCTGATACATAATTTTTTGCCATGTTTCAGAGATGATTTTTTTTTTAATCGATTATCTTTCAGCAACGGAATCAACAGAGGGTAAAGATGAATAAGATTATATTTTACACCATCGCACTTTGTAGTATAATTATGTAATATATTGTTTAATATAGTTATATATTGGCTTTGCATGAAATGAGGTTTACATTTTAAGCGAATTTTTATTAAATACTTATTTAGTTATAGTTATATAGTGACTAGAGTAATATCATTATAATAATAATCACTGAAAATTTCAAAAGACGACTTTTTAGAACGTGAATTGAATACAGATTCTACTAAAAATAGATCATTTTACAATTTTCTCCGTAATTTTCTCAAGCGTAAGCCAAAAAATAATAAAAAAGAGAGAATGTTAATTTCGTCTCGCAGCTGTTTATAGGTACATATAAATACATAACTTTTGTTTTAATAAGAAAATAGTTTTGTTACTTATGGATTGAACATTTGAATGGAGTTCATTGGCATAATTTCAAAATATGAACCTAGTTTATTATTACCGATAGTAAATTCTAGAAGTAAAATCTCAGTGTGAAATTTCGAAACTAATATATGATATAGGTAGTAACGTATACAGGGGGATGTAAGGGTCAAATACCCCTAAGGCATTTTTTTAAATGTTATAAAATAATGTTCTTAGTGTGAGGGCGTTAGAAGCGTAAAAAAATTAATGATAAAATAAAAATAATGATTTGTTTGCAAATGATTCCTCCCCATACAAATGTTATGTATACGCCACTAGATGTAGGGGCATCACTCATTTGCTTCAAAAATTTAATTAATTTTGGGTATAGTCCATTTGCGCCAAATTTACCTTCGTAAATATTTTACACTAACGACTTGGTCAATTCAAAATGCATATCTACAAATTATTTATAATTGTTTAAAAAAAATATAAATTATTGATTATTATTAAAAAAAAAAAAAAAATCGTACAATTGACCAAAATTGGATATCATTTAAATAAAATGTTATTGATTATTAGCATTACTATTATTATTTAATTATTATTTGAGAAAAAAATGTATTACTTTATTATAATTACCTCGAAACTAAATAATATCCGGATAATAAAAAACAACGAAGGTTCGGTGATAATCTGTACAGAATATGAATATTGTTTATGAATTAACCAAGTTATTATTGTAAAATGTTTACGCATTTAAATTTCGCGCGAATGGGCTGTACCCAAAACGAATTAATTTTTTTGGCGCAAACTCCTGGATGTAGGTGTGTTTGGTTAAATTAAAATAACTATTGGAATAAAATACATTAATTCGACGGCATGCATCACATGGGATAGGCATATTTGTTTTTATTGCGATGCTAATTTGGCGAGAAAAAACCTTTAGGTATTTTTACTTTTTTCTTTTTTACATTTGTAATAAATGTGTTTTTGTGAAACTTTTTTGATCTATTAGAATTGGAAATCACATAGGTACCTATTATTATCATCGTTTTGATGATGAGGTGTGAAATGTGTAATAATTAATTTTACGCACAATATACAGGTACACGTATTTTTATGCAAATTATTAATTAAATTGAAATCCTCACCACTTTTTAAGTAAAGTAATGAATATTTTGATTTAACATTAAACTTGTATTCAATTTTTCTGTTAATACATTTTTCAGTAGTAGCAGTGTACAGTATAATGCTGCAATATTATAAAAATAGCTGTAATCTTTTAAAAGATTATTGGATAAATTAATCAATTTTAAAACGTGTATGGAAAGTAAAATATTATTTTAGGAAAAAATGTTATATGTCTACAACTTAGTATCGGTTATTCTACACTCGTAACAAAAAGTGGTATAATGGCCATAATTTGAGAGTTCATCAGTACAATGTGGGAGTCAATTGAATGTTCCACCATATTTGAGTGAGGCTAACTTCTCGTGGTCAACTGTTGAAGTATATATTGCCTGTTTGACCTGAGATTAATATCATGTTTGAAATTTAAATAAGTAATTATACATGAATCCAGGTCTCCCAAAAAATAGTACTAAGCAACATATTTCCAAAAGATTCAGCGATACTTAAATTATACTTTTGGGACAAAAAAAAAAAATATATTTATATAACAAATATTGTAACTCAACTATAATCGTACATATAATTAGCAGTGGCGGTTTTGGGATTCAATTTTGAACGAGGCGACTAAATATTAACATAAATGTACACAAAAGTTATAATATTAAAATTGTAATATTATTGTTTTCTAAACGTTTAACCTCCTAGTAGCTGTGAACAGTGGCGCACACAGAGGGGGGGGGGTCAGGGGTGTCGACTGACACCCCTCAGAGAATTTGTGAATGACTATTTCTGTCTGAACTTGTATGAATATTTGTTTAATTTAATACAAACCAATTGTTCAGCTATCCAAATCAACATACTAAATATGTTTACCCTAGAACTAAAGCGTTACATGAGAATAAGTAGTAGGGCTCAATCCCAAAAATTATACTATACAAACTAACCTAATCTAACCTAACTAAAAACACTTAAAAATAAGAGTTATACTATGCCTAAACTCAGATTTTACTAGTGGGGATGGGTGGATACCTCGAAATATATATTTTCGATACCCTTGTCAAAAATCTTCTAAGCGCCACTGGCTGTGAATATGTTCTTTTGATGTCTCGTGAAATTTTACACTACGGGACAAGTTTTTAAAATCACAATAACCAACTATCAACCAGACAGATTTTAAATGACCTAACAAAATACACGGCAAACAAAATAAAGCTTGTTTGTAATAGTGTGGTGACGTAAACAACGCACCGCGAATCGTCCAAGTTGGTTACAATATTGTCAGTGGATAAGGGGAAATCCCATGTTCTAGAATATGCGATGATTATCACGTTAAGGTAATTTCGAGAATGTTCTAGACAATCGACGCTGATTTATATTTACCGGCTGGTCAGACGCTCATTCAGTCAGTCCGTGAGTACAATCCGTGACACACCGTGAATTACACTTCGCGATATATTCGGCAATTCCTCCGCAATTGTAACGCGTATCGATATTTGTACATACATATTTATATAATATAGTGTCTATTTTAATTAAATTAAATTGTGAGTGATTTTTATTACTTAAATCCCACAATAGTTTCCACAAAGCCAAGAATCCAAATCATACCTCGCAGGATTAAACAGTCGACTAAATAATTTACCACCTTTTTTGTCTAGTGATTGGCACGACAAAAAAAGAGTTATCTTGCCTTTTCTAATCAAATCATTTTTATGAATATTATTCCAACGCTTAAAATGCGTTTCAAGTAATATCATAACTGGATCATTTATAGGATCCATAGTTCCAGAATGTGACACAGTGACAAGTCACGTGTACTATAATGTACTACACAGTAATTACAACAACAATATAATATCACTAATCGTTATCGTACAAGAACCAATAAGACTTTTATTAAATTAACAACGCACACGAATAGGAAACACAGTTGTACAGTACCACGG